GTTCATGCTTTCTTTCACCTGGCCAAAGACCACATGCTTACCATCCAACCAATCAGTTGTAGTGTTACAGATGAAAAACAGGGAGCCATTTGTGTGCGGCCCAGCACTTGCCATGGACAGTGCACTTCAGAGTGAAATTCTCATCATGGAAGTTTTCTGCTCTTTGGAATCTTTCCTGTGAAGAGCTTGAAAATAAGTTGGCACAGAGGCTCCTTATTAGCAATGTCTAATAGGATTAGCAGAAGTGGGGAGGGGGGTCAGGAGGGATGATGTGAAGTTAAGGACTCTTGGTGGCCCCATCTGCAAAGCCTTTTGATTTACTTGGTATGCCCATAGTACAGTCCCTGGCATAGAGTAAGTACTTAATAGATGTCTGTTGATTGATTGATTAATTGATCTGTGCAGGTACTTCCTGTATCCACAAAGATCACAGCTTCTTTATCCTCAGTAGCTGGTATCCTTGAGTTATTGTGACTCAAAAATTGATCACTTGGTGGCCATCCTTTTAATATCAATCCCCTCTGACCTCTGATTAGGCCAGTCTTCAGCTGCAAAACAACCCAGCTATCGTTGGCATCTTATTCAAACCATTTCCACATTGATAGAACCTGCCAAAGCTTAAAGTCTGGCCTTCCATTTTGTCACCCACATTGCCCTCTTATTAGATTTTGGTGGAGGTCTTTGATTCTAAGAATGGAAGAGGGAGCCCTCAGCTGTCATACCCTTGGCATGGCCTTATTTTTAAGTAGCACTCAGGACTAATGAGTAGGTTCTCCAATCTTAATGGGTAACTTAGAACCCCATGATTAAGGTTAGATTCACAGAAGCATAATTATCAAATGTCATCTGGTTTGTATACAAGGCTTTGGAATTTTTTTCTGAGCTGTTTCATTTGCCACTACCTCAGCTAAGAAAGCTGTAACCAAGGAAACCTAAGGACTATGAAATAGCATATTCTAAACTTGGATTGTATCTCTAGAAAAGTCATTGTAGGATCTTAATGCTATAAGTGATTTCTAAAGGTGACATTGCCCAATGCCCTGCTTTGCATAAAGCATTCCAATAGATAGGTATCAATCCTGTCACTAAGGATTTTTCAAGGGGAGGAAAATGTAATATTGATTGGCTTGTTCAATAACATACAGTGTGTCCCAAGAATCATAATGCAGTTTAAAGCAATTTAAATGATTAAAACTTTAAACTGCACTAAAACTTTTGGGACACTTTGTATTCCCCATCAGTCAGGCCAGGAAAAATAACACACTTTTTATAGCACTTTAAGGTTTGAAAAATCCTTTTCTTCTGAGGTGGGCCGTACAATGCATAATTATCCACATTTTAAGGAAATAAGGCTTAGAGAGGTTGTGACTTCCCTATGGTCACAGAGCTAACAAATATCCAAGTTGGGATTTTAACCTAAGATAAGCTAACTTAGGACCAGTGTTCATTTACCCCATACTGCTTTTCAGTATTTTTACTTTTGGGAAGCCAAGGGAAAACCTTGTAGTACAGTCAAAAGAACCCTGATTTGCCATCAGAAGACCTGGGTACAAATCTTGACTCATACTCACTGCCTGGACAACCTTGGACCAGTCACTTGGTTTCTCTGAACCTCAGTGTCCTCATCTCTAAAATGAAGGGATTGGACTAGATCGTCTCTTAGGTCCTTTCTAGCTCTGTCCCTTTCGATCAGCCAATTTTCCTTATATTTGGCCCAAACCTTCTTTCTGCAATTTTGCTATGAAGAAACAAATCACAATACCCTAAATTTCTGTGGCACTTTTTTCCTCCTCCCAAAAATTGTCACATATATTATGTCACTTGATCCTCATGATCACACCTTGGGCAAGTCACTTAACCTCTCTCTGCCTCAGTTTCTTCATCTGTAAAATAAGGAAGTTGGACCCAGTAGCTTCTGTGTTCTAAAAATCTATGATCTATGATTTATGACACTGTGATATAAGGCAAACATTAATTATATATTACCCATTCAATTAAATTATAGTCCATAACGGCAGTTTTGGAGACAAAGCAGATTTCACAAAAGAAAGGAAGGCCAACAATACATAAAGCCATGGGCTGTTATTATAGTATGTTGCAACTCAATCAAGGGAAAATTCAAGGCCTAAAATAAGAAAAACAGGTTGTTGAGGGGGGACTAGTGACAGAAAGAGAGGTGAAAACTGGAAGGACAAGAACAAAAAAAAAGGCAACACCTTGAGAGGTCACCAGAACCTTGGGTTTAATAGTCTTCAGACTCTAGCAGGAGGAGGAGGGACCTAGAATACCCAGGATCTACCAATTTCTCATCTCTCTTCCTCCTTAATGTGAAAGATGCCCATGGACTTTATTGAGGGGTGGGAGGACATGAGTTTTCACTCAGGCAGGTTTGATAAGTTTCCTATCTTTAAAGTCCCACACAAAGGGAGACTGGGGATTGGTCAACACGACACATGGAATAGATTTTTTCCAGGAAAAAACAACAACAAGTAATGGGTGTTGGTCCAAAGCACAGGTAGCCTGCCATCAGTATTCAGAAAAGCTTCCCAAAAGAAAAGATTTTTTTTCATTATCACAAGTATCACAATTATTGCAAAGTATATACACATTGTATAGACTTAGTTAAATCTAGTAAGTTTAAGTCCAAGGTCACACAATTGATAAGTAATTATATATTTATATAATATATAGTTATATAGAATATGTGTTTATATAATGATAATTATTATATAAATTATATATCATTATTATATAAAAATATAATTAACAGGTAAGCTGAAACTTAAACCCAGCTTTTTACACTCCAACTTCGCTATGCTGGTCACTGCTGTCCTCAGAATGTCCCCCTTGCAATTCTTTGCAATCTTCTTTAAAGTATTCTTTCCATTCCTTTCCCTCTTCTTTATGGAGTTCTGAAAATCCAACTCTTTACATTATACTTCTGCGGCTTTACTTTTGGAAGCTGAGTTCAATGTGAGTTCAGACAGTAAGTAATGTCATTTTCTGAACCTCCTCTTTTTTGCAGTTGTGGGTTATTGTTGTTGTTTGTCCTTCCTTTTGGAAGAGGACCGCAGCATGTGGAAGGTGATGCCATGACTTGCAAATGAATTGGATTTAAGTGAGGGAGGGCTGTGCAAAGTCACCAGCCTTACTTTCTCCTCCAGAGCCTTCTGGATCCAGTGGCAGGATACAGATCAGAACAACTGGAAATGGCCCTGGATACAGTGGGAGATCTTGGCCTTTTTAGCCTGAGGTGGGGTACTATTGTTGCGGAATATCGCATGCTTTCTCCGAACTAACTGATATGTTGGTTAATTTTGCTTAACAGCTTCCCCACCCCCCTTTCTTTCTTATTGTTTACCATAGGGAAGGGCTCTCTGAGTAGGAGGAAAGGTTAGATGTATCTAGAAGTGAAGGTGATGTGAAAACAAAGGGTTTTTTTTTTTTACTTAAAAATAAGACGAAAGCATTGGGAGGGTTAAACTATGAAAAAGAAACACCATTTTCTTTTTTCTTATTTTAAAATAATTTTTTCTTGATCTTTTGTTTTTGGTTCACCTACCCTTCCCAATGTATCCCGATTCCCTTCACAGAGAGCCATCCTTTACTTTAAAAAAAAAAAAAGGAACAAAAAGAGCAGAAAAAAATAGTTCAGTAAAACTAACACACATTTTGAAAAAAGGCTGACATTCTATCCAGTATTCCACACCCATAACCCCCCACTTCTGTAAAGAAGGGTGTGGAGGAAAGTGCCACCAGATAACTCTTCTTTGGGGCCATGCTTGGCCATTACAGACTCTTAGCATTCAATTTTTAATATTTTGTTCATGTAGTTCTTTCCACTTCCGTTGTTGTGGTCATTCTGTATATTGTTTCCCCAGTTCTGCTTACTTCACTTTGCACTGTAGGATCATAGATTTAGGGGCATTTGTGGCCATGAAGTCCACCCCCCTCACTTTATAAATGAGGAAACTGAGACAAAGAGAGGATAAATGTCTTGCGCAGGGTCACAGAGATAGTAAAGGCCTGCAGCTGGATTTGAACCCAGGATTTCCTGACTTTATAGTTTGTATAAACAGTCTTTCCATGCTTCTCTGTTTTCAACATATTCGTTGCTTCTCACAGCAACAGTAATGTTTCATTACAGTCTTGCGCCACAACTGGTTTAGCCATTTCCCAGTGGATGGGCGTTCACTTTGACAAATTTCATTTTCTAACCCTCATACATTGATATAAATTTCAGCTGTACGGAGGGAGCAGGGCACAGTAGAAACAACGTTGGAATCTGGGGTTAAAAGACCTGGGTTTCAGTCTCACCTCTGCTGTTTAGTAACTGTGCGACTTTGGGCAAGTCACTTAACCCCTCTGGGCCTCAGTTTCCCCATTCGTAAACATGAGAGGGTTGGACTTCGATGATCTTTAGCGTCTTTAGGGTCCCTTCCATTTCTGAAGGGCAGCATTAATACTGAGATCAAGGATGCTAGTTTGAATCCACTTTTTCTTCTTCTGCCTCGTCTGCAAAACATCTGTGATCTGTCGGTATCTTTTGTCACACTTCTATCTCCTGAGCTCCTGGACTCTATAATCTCTTTTTCAAAGACTTTGTGCCTGCCGCAGCCACCTCTACCCCCAGCTCCATCCTCTCCTCCTCCTCCTCCTCCACATTTCTTCCAGTTACCCCTAAAACCCGGTTAGTGGAGTCTGCATCCTTCTATTCCCTTGAACGGGTCCCGGGCAGCCCGACTGCGCATGCTCAGTAGCCCGGCAGGTTTGGGAGGCGAGTCTGAAGCTCTGCCTGATCCAGTGACTGTTTTAGGGAGGGACGAGGCAGGAAGAGGGGCTGCTTGCTGCAGAGGCGGCCGCTGAGCATTCCTGGCGCAGCCCCGCAGGTGTGCCCGCAGCCGCCGCGCTGCCCGATAAGCCTCTCTCGGGCGTGTGCGGGACGGACTCGGGGCCCCTCCATGCAGCCGGCCCGAGAGCTCGAGAACCAGCCGGCTGGCCCCTGCTATGGCTGGGGGAGAAGAGACTGAGGCTGCCGGGAGCCAGCCCGCCCCGGCTGCAGCGGCAGGTGAGTCCCTAAGTGAGACAGACTGGCGGGCTCGGGGCGAACCGACAGCTCCTGGGAGGGGAGGGGGGGGTCCTGAGAGCTTAGCCCCCTTGGCCCCCTCCATGTACCCCGAGCTCGGGGACCCGCTGCTGCTGCTGCTGCAGCTGCAAGCTCTTACTGCCCTAGTTGGGGATGGAAGGAGCTTGCCTGGTTACGTCGCTGTATGGGATACCTGCTGCAAATGAGGATGAGGTACTGATTAGTGAGCACTTATCTCCTTCAGAAAGGGCAGATGGGCTCCGATTTTGTCATTTGCACAGGGCTTCCCCTTTGGGCTCAGGTGCTACCCGTGGCAGGATACATTCCTGAGAGGCACGATGCAAGTTGTGTAGGAACTGCTGTTGCAGATTTAAGTGTATGTCTTGCCCTGAGGATAAAGCCCTATAAGAAAATCCGTTCCGTTATTCCAGAGCAAATCTGTAGTCACAGATCTCTTGCTTACTACCCTCTTTCTGTCTGTCATTTTGAATGGTCTATTTGGATTCTTTTGGCCCCCTGCCATCATCATTCATAAAAAGATTTTTTTTTTTGCCATTCCAGAACATAGGAAGAACAAGCAGCATTCTCTATTCTTCCTGGCTCCAGAAATTAAACAACTTTGAGACTGAAAAACAGGCAGAAGAGCTGTAGCGCACAGATTCCTTAAAAGAAACGAAAAAATAATTTCTTTCTCTCTACTCTCCTGACCTAAGAAACACACACACACACACACACACACACACTCTTCTTATAAAGGGAGAGATCATAGATTTAGAGCTACAGAGGCTACCCACTCAATCCCTTCTCCACTCAATTTTATAGTTAAAGAAACTGAAATGGAGAGGTTGAATGACTGGAAGTAACAGGCAGCATTTGAATCCAAGACCTCTCACTCTGACTCCAGTGCTTCTTTCACTGTACAATGGTGATACTTTTGTTATTTAAAAAAACCAAACTTCTGTTACACAAAGTTTTCTTTCATTTAGTGTAATTATAGTAGTCTTTAAATAATGGGTCTGTTTTTGAAAATTATGGAACCATCCTTGTGTCTACTACTTAATATAAGTGACAGAAATAAAAAGAATTATAACAGAGTTTGCAGGAAAAAAATATTTGGGCAAAGATGATTAGATTTCTACAAGCTTTACCTAATATAATAAAAATATGTCCAATTATTTGCCAAAATAGATTGTGAGATGAGAAAACTATTAGCATTCTCAGAATGGGAATTTGGAGTCTCCAGTGTTTCCAAATTCCCACCATCATAATGTACTTCACCATGTATTTTGCTGAAGAATGGAATAAACCATTACTTAACTTATTGCTCCTATTTATTTTTACATAAGACTGGTCTGATATAATATTTGTCTAGACTTGTGAAAATATGTAACCAGTTTTGTCCAAATCCAGGGGGCATTTGGATTCTTTCAATGTATGCTAATCCAGGTGAGCAGAAATTCTAGATTAAATCATATGGCCTAGAGTGAACCTTAGTGACAAGGTACCCTTTAGCTAAATTATTTTCATTATAAATAAACATTGTTGTTTACTTGAAAACCAAATGTGAAGTTAGGACATGTTTAAAATGATCCTTCTGACTTAGCTTAGAGAAGTTTTGATACCATACATAAGGAGTGGGTTGGAGGCTGCAATAATGAAAGTCTGAAAGACTGAATGAAGTGAGTCAGATTGCATCTCATTTCCTACTCCCACCCTCTATTTATTTTCTTTGAATCCCAGAGCCCTGTTTTAAATTGATCTAGCCCCTGGGATATGCCTTGGGACTGAGACAGGCTTCCAATAAGCATTGTGTTTCTGAGAGGGCCAAGAAAGTCCAACTCAACCTTTCATCATCCATATTTAGGAGCTCCTTGAGCTGTCAGGCCAGTTCAGAGGCCAGCCTGTAGACTTGAGTCCCTTCCTGGGCAGGCCTGGGTTGGTGCTAGGTGGAATTCTAGTGGTGAACTTTCGTGCCATCCGAAGTAGCCCTGTAGCTCATCAGTCTTCCTGGAGTCTTTTCTCCATGGAACTGTTGTAGATTCCTACAGATGCCCTGGGCTTGGCACAATTTACACTCACAACCTGAAACAAGAATCAGAACTGAACTGAACGTCTGAGGTTTTTTGTTTTGTTTTTTACTTTTTTTTCGGTGAAGATAATATGGTAGAGGAGGCAGCTAGGGGGCACAGTGGATAGAGTGCTGGGCCTTGAATCGGGAAGACTCATGTTCCTGAGTTCAAATCTGGCCTCAGACACTTACTAGCTGTGTGACTCTGGGCAAGTCATTTCACCCTGTTTGCCTTCATTTTCTCATCTGTAAAACGACCTAGAGAAGGAAATGACAAACTACACCAGTATCTTTGCCAAGAAAACCCCAAATGGGGTCACAAAGAGTTGGACACAGCTGAAATGAGTCAACAACAACAGCAAATGTGGTAGAGAAAAGTTAAGACCTAAGACCATAAAAGGTTTGGGTAAGATAGGATCCCTACACATAATTTAATACATTATATTACATAAGAGGCAAAAACCCAGGCTCAAATCTAAGAAAACTTGGATGGGTTCAAGTCCCATCTCTACTAGATGGGTGACCCTCTCAGTGTTCTAGACAACTCTTTAAAACTATGCATTCCTTTTATCTTCTTTGTTTCTTTCTTTTCTTCCTTTTTTTAAATTTTGGAGGCAGTTAGTGTTAAGTGACTTGCCCAGGGCCACACAGCTAATAAGTGTCTGAGGGCAGATTTGAACTCAGGTTTTCCTGACTCTGGGCCAGTGTAAAACTATACATTTCAAAGAAGATACTGACTTGCATTGGGAGAGAGGTCTTCCTCACCCAGGAGTTCGTATTAATGAAATCACAGATCTAATTCCATCCTATATTACATGACAGGTACATTCAAGATAAACCAAAACTTTATATCTTTAATCTTAATGGTCTTCCTTAACCTAACACTTTCAGACTACTTTCCTATTTCATCAGTTTGGGTGAAACAAAAATGTTTTAAGGAAATTCTGATGTATAGCTCCTTATTACCAGGACCCTCTTCCAGGAGTCTATTTCTGTTTATTCCGTCTACCCAACTACTGAATTTATCTTTACATTTAAATAGTCTGATATTAGGACCTTATTGGTAAAAGTCTAAAAAAAGCAGTAGGGCAGGGAAGTGTCTTCTGTGCTTGGATTGTGGAGCCTTAGGTAAGGAATCTTTCTGGCCGACAAAAATTCCCTGGGGAAAAACCACAGGTAGACAGTTCATTTGAGAACATTATTTGACAGACTTAAGAAAAACAGAAAGACTGTATACTCTGCCAAGTGAGGGTGAGTGTCTTCTTTGTGGATGACTTCAGAATTCCTGGAATTGGGGACAAGACAACATCAGGAGAGCAGAGTAGAGATCTCCTGACGGTAGGAGAGGGCCTTGAATTCGGTGGAGACAGAGTTGCCTTACTCTTAGTAGTCCTGTTTTTCTCCTAATCTCCTCTTGGTTTCACCTTGAGGTTGTGGAATGATACCATTTTGCATTGTGGATTTGTGATTGCTGTGATTTAAATTCATTTTTTCATGACTCAGCAATCAGAAGCCATTTTAATTAATTCTATATAAACTTGGGTTTGTGGCTGGGATCCGTACCCAATTTTCTGCCTTAGTGTACATTCCCCAAGTCAAACTAGAGCATTCTCACAGAATGGCGAAATCTTAGAACAAGAGGAGACCTTTGGGAAAATCTTGTCTCAGTCCTTGATTTTTACAAATGAGGAAATTAGGGCCTCGAAAGGTGAGGGATATGCCCAAAGATAATCAAAAATGGCAGATCCAGGACCAGTACTCAGGCTCCTGACTCAGTCCAACGTCTTTTCTAAGCACACCATGCTGCTTCTGATAACCTTTCATGGAAACACAAAGAAAATAAGCCTTGCTATCATTTAAACTGTAGAACAAAATGAGACGCTCTAAAATGTCACAGTGAATGCACCCAATATTTGTCTGTGCTATGAAACTTGATTAAAATGTTCTTCCCTGCAAATATCATTAAAGGAATTATGGAGGGAGTTATAAAAAAATCATTATTTTTAGTTTAAAAAAAATGACCTATTTACTTGATTGAGCTCTACTTTTTATTGTTTGATAGTTAAAGAACAAAGAAGATCTAGGTCATTAGTCATCATCAGCAACAAATTTGACAAACATATATTAAGTACCTATCATGTGCAAAGCACTCTTCAGGGGACTAAGGATACAAAGACAAAAATGCAACAGTCCCTGCTTATTTTACAGATATGGAAACTGAGTCACAAAGAGATTAAGACTTGCCCCTGATAACATAACTAGTGAATTGTCAGGGCCAAGTTACTTTATCTCTTTGGAGCTCGGTTTCCTCATCTGTAAAATGGAGATAGTAATGGCACCTGCCTCCAGGCATTGTTGTGAGGATCAAATGATAATATAATTGTAAATTGCTTAGCACAGTGCCTGGTACATGGTAAGCATTATATAAATGTTATCTGAAAAATGGAGATAACCATTTCTACTTCCCTCACAGGAGCATTATGAAGGTCTAGCGTAACAATATATTTTCTAATTATGCATCTTAAAATTTTTTTTTATTCTGAACTTACAAAATGCAGAGCATTTTCACATATACAGCAGAATACAAAAAAGAGGACTGTATATAAACCTATGCATGTCCATTTTATATCACTTTTTTTTAAAAGTGCATAATTTTCAACCATTAGTTTCAAAACTGACCTGTTTAGGTTTCCTTTTGTACTTTCTTCTGTGCACAGCAGCACATTAAAAAAAAAAGTTTCTATCACTACTCTTTCCTTTTTTTTTTTATATCACTGTTGCTAACCCCACCTTATTCCTCTCCCATTAAAAACTGAGAGAAAAAACAACCTTGCACAAAACAAGCAAAAGTAGTCTATATAAGATGGAGTGCTAGTCTTGGACTCAGGAAGACCTGAGTTTAAATCCAGCCTCA